AAACGAATCAATCAACAGGCCGCAGCGGGTGCCGGCTATAGCCCAACAAGTTCCATGCGACCCGGACAGCACCCTCTGAGGAATGTGGATGAATGATATGATCGCATGTATCTTTAGTTGAGGACTTTAGTGACTTGGCTAGCATAGATAAAAGCTTCTTCCAAACATTGGTAACTGCATGTGGGGGGGTCCTTCTAGGGTTCTAGTAAAGTCAACCAAGCATGTATGTATGTAATTACATAATATGTATGTTTGTATGTATGTAAGTGTGTATGTAGACATGTCCGTATGTCTCAGGCTGGCTGGCTGGCTATTTGTTTGTCTCTCTGTTTGCCTGTCTGTCTGTCTGTCTGCCTGCCTGCCTGCCTGCCTGCCTGCCTGTCTGTGTGTCTGTCTGTGTGTGTATGTACGCATGTATGTACGAGTATAAGTATGTTCGTACAGAGACATATACATTTGCTTTTACACACGAGTTTTTGAACTTTAGATGCATATGTTCTGTGCGTAAATGCATATGCACGCGCACACGCAAGCACACAGAGAGACAGACACCGATATTAACAGGCGTTGATTCGAGCGACCATTTCGACCTTGCACTTGTGTCGCATTGAGATTAGGCGGGTACTCTCGGGTAAGTTCCAGTAGGACTCAGCAGATACAGATACCGCCTAAACCTTAAGCCTCACAGCCTTAAACATACTACCTCAGATCCTACTGTGCGTGTGACTTTACCTGGACATTAGAGTTCGTACCATGAGCTTGGAGGTGAGTAGCCTTAAACACGCAGTTAGTCAGGGAAATCCGTGCATGTGGACGAGGACGACGAAGCCGACTGCGACGACGGCTACTACTGGGTGCGACAACTTCTGCCTTCATACATGGGCACTCGCAGCAGTTTGACGACATTCTCGGTATTGATGGTGATAAGAATTAAAAGTAGTCACGCTGATGCGATTCACTACTATTGCCACTGCCGCTACCTCGCACACACCTCTCGCATTTCCGCATTTACCGTCCTCGTTTTATCCCGAGCACCTGAAAACCCAATCCCTGAACGCCCCACAATCCCTCCATCCCCAAACTGCCTGAACCCTAAAGCCCCTCTTTCACACATTCCGAGGCCTTATTTCGCAATGATGCCCGGCTCACTTCGTCCAGCCGGCGTGGCGAAGGGGGAGGGGAGGGCGGGAACGGGGTGTGGGGGGTGAGCGGAATTTTGCTGATTCGCAGCTTGGGGCTCTGAAGAGTTTCACAGTTGAAGTCTGTAGGTGTTCTGTCTCAAGGTTGGGAGCTTCACCGTGTCGTTATTTTGTAATTAGAGCAGCCCTCAGGATGTTGTCGGGCGTTCGTTCGTCGTTTTGAGTCTCATAGTTCAGGGCTGTAGGGACAAATTTCAGGGCTCAGGGCTTCGAGGACTCACTGGGCTGTACATTTTGATGATGTAGGATTCCACGGACAGGTTCTTGGAGTCTTAAGGGCCTGTTGAGGGTTAGTGTGGGCCACAATGCAATCGGGCGTCAACCACTCAGACGTGACATGTGATGCTATTGAATCACTTCGCGCTGACATTGGACTTTGTGAGATCCTACGCACCTCAGGAAACTACCACCATCGGAAAGACACCCAACAGCCGAAATGCTCCGAACCCAAACCTGCAGGACATAGGAAAACCTTAGAGACGAACAGCGCACTGAGCTCCGCAGCCCGGATGCAGCGCGGAAACCAAATCCATGAGTTTGGCAGATGTTGCAGGACTTTTCGTGAGACATGTAGACGACAGTGCGGACTTGGGATTGGGATGCAAGAATTTCAGGGCTTGGCTTTTGTCTCTTCGATTGAGAGGAGTCGTGCCTGCAGGGCTTGAGGTTTCACTTCAGCTTTTGGGTTCTAGGCTTATTGGTGTGCCCACACATCCGCGAAAGTATGCTCCAACACTTCCTCGCACCCATGTAGGTCGCAGCCCAAGTCCAACACCTTCCCGCTTAGAGATTGGCTTCTTGTGTCCTCCTGTTTTTCAATGTGTCCTGTCGCTGCCAGCTAGCACTGACTTGGCTGCACAGACGCTGAGCCACCAGGCAGGTTCGCTTGACTTCAGCTTTGCTGTCGGGTAAAGGTACGGAGACGCACCCGCAGCCCGCCCCTCAACAATCCTGAACTCCCGGTGCTGTATTTCAGCAATCTCCGGAGCACTGCTGTGCGAGCCGACAGTGGACATCGTGCAGTAGCATAGTAGTTCGATGAACTCTGGCCATCAAAGTAATCATAGATCGGCAGAGTAGTCATGTGAGACCTTCAACCGATGCAGCACGAGCAGGTGAACTGAACTTGTTCTACAACCTGTTTGGGAGTCCGTGCATAAATGCTAGTTTTTGTAAGAATAAGGATGTATACACGCACTCACGCACACAGACTATGTCACACCGTCTTCATTCCACAGCCCCTCTAGGTCTCTAGGTCCTGCCGGCAAACTGCTGGTCTCTGCTTCGAAACCGCCTCAAAGCGCATACGCAAGAATAGACAGACCCTGAGCATCTGGCCCTCTGTCCAAGGCTGATGCCAAGGACGATTTAGGCTTAATGGCTCTGTGGTTTGCAGCTTTCATGCGCTTATTATAGGGTGTGAGCTGTTTAGTTGCATGGAGGGCGCGGATTCCCATACGGTGAAGGAGCCTTAGGTTATCCGGATCTCCAGTGCGGTGAGTCTCCATCGAGAATTCCATCCCATACATGATTTGCGGGTGCTAGAACTTTCAATACCTAAATGGGTTTAAGTACACATCCTCATGTCCAATCGTAGGTATGGTATACGGCTGCATAGCGTTACTGCTCGAATCAGCTGCACACACAGCACAAAAGGAGCTCCTGCATGCATGGATAAACAAACTATACCAGCTGGCTCTATCCTCGAGTTCTAGCTGCACTTCCAAGCTTGACCCTGAGTTCCAAAGCCATTCATAGAACCACGAAAGGCCGAACCCTAAGACTCACACAAACAACACTTGGCAATGCGCGATGTGGCGGCCGTGTTTACGCGGAGCGCAAATGCCGAAGCCTCGCATGGGGTTAGAGATGTTGTTAAGAGTTTATCGTAGGGTTGGGGATTTTGCGGCAGGGCTTCAGGGAGAACCGGAAGTGGGGGACTTTAGTGACGAATCGATACCGGACTGGACAAATTATGTTGTTGAATTTGGGGAGCTGCTCATGTTGGGATTTTGGGAGATCCAGCTTCAATGAGAGATTCATGTTGATCATGAATACAGTATGCAGAAGATGTGGCTTGCATGGAGGCTGCTGATTTTCCAAGACGCGAGCATCCTGCATGCCGAATCATGTAATTGTCGTCTGCTTGGTTCCCCATAGACGTTGCAAGTAACACTTGGGCAGCTTGTTACGCTTGTGTTCGGGCACAGATGCGGAGGCGAATCCCAGGGTGCATGTCTGTAGCCTGCAGACACCAGTGTCGACTTTTTGCACGCTTTCAATTGCGGGGCTTCTCTGAGATTCGATGAACAAGTTTGAGGGACTTCCGGTTTCCGCACTTGCAACTCAGATCATACTCAGACCATCCTGTTGGTGCTGGCTCATTCTCACGCCCGCAGGCTGCAGGCCTCAACTCAACTGAAGACGCCAACTTAGAACTCTCACCAGTAGGAGCCGTACTTTACGGATCCTAAAGCCGCCCCTAAATTCACTGGACCCCCAAGACGTGCAAAATTTTGCAGCAGTGACAGGTTGGTGCGCGTTCATCACGAAGTCAGCACTGTAAATTCGAACACCTTGAAGCTTAACCCTACAATGCAGGATCAACATCACTTGTGTGGCTAGTTTCACTGTCGCTTCCTTTCAACGCTCGATGCCCTTCGAGCCCCAGCGTTCAGTCGCAGAGCGCAAACTATTGTAGCAGAAGCACCTAGCGGTACAAGTATAGTACAGTTTCCGCATCGTCTGTCTGTGCCGGAGAGTCGTGCTCATTTATTCCTGGCTGATGCCTGTTTTGGTCTACCTCGTCCCCAACCCCGACTCGAATGCTTTCAGCTCTACTGATTCTGAGGCTTGACAGGCCGGGGTACCGTTGGTTCTGGACCCTGTCTACACAGAGCCCGGATGCCGGGGCCTCACAGGCAAGTGTGCTAGGGTTCAGGTTTCCAGTGCTTGGGCAGATTTGGGTACTTTGCTTGGGGACTTGGGCAGTTCGGGAAGGTGGGGTTGGCCCTAAACCCAAACGAAATAATAACCGCCCGGCCCTACTCCTTGAGGCGCCAGGGAGCCGACCTTCGAAGTTCTGTGTCGTGCATCAAAGTTCGGGGTGGACTGCTTAGGGAGCGATGCGCAAGAGCTTTCGGCCTGATAGAACCGCGAGAGATTAAGGACATCAGCCACGGGCCTTGAGAGTTAAGAGCTTTCGGAATGCTCATGGGTCGCGAGTCGTCCAGGGTTTGGGGTCAAGGTTTTGGGTTTGCCGGGCAAGGCATACCCAGTGTCCGCAGGACAGTCACGTCCGCATCGGTCACTCTTCACTGCTGCTTGCAAGTAGTATATGAGTAGTATGTGGCTCTCGGCAGTTGCCACCACTCATCCGGCTCCAGGCACGAAGTGCAAACCACACTCGACATAAAGCTAACACAGATTAAGTTTGCCGAGAAGAAGGGCAACTGCAAGTTCGTATCACCTCCAACAGAACTCCAAAGCTTCGAGAGCGCGGGACGCCCGAAACCCCTAAGCAGAAGAAGCGTGGAAGGTCTAGGTGCCGACGCCGCGAATGGGGCGAGGTTTGCATGGCCTGCCTGGCCCCCCAGTTTCGGGTCTCGGTGTAATGGGTCTATAGTAATTACCATCAAGGCTTAATGGGATGCTTTGTCGAATAAGGTTCCGAATTCATCCGCTTTCTTTTCGGCGTACTTGAGGGTGTCTCAACTTATCTCAGCCCCGTTTTGCATATTCCGAGTTGCGACTTGAGCACGCTTGCTGTGGATCTCGCAAGCCAATGCTGGTTGTTTGTAGGAACAAATGTGCCCCTGATCTCTGTGCCCCAACCTCCAAACTTTCCGTTAAAACTCTACACCTCAATCAATAATCAACGGAAAAACCTAAGCTTTAACAAGCTGTACACTCTAACCTCCAGACTGCAGCTAGGCCTGAGCCCCGGAAGCCCTTTGATGCCTAAAGTCCCGAACTTGAGACACGTAAGCCGGAGTTCCCTTTAGCAAGCCGACGGCGCGGGGCTTCTTAGGGTTTTAGGGTTTGACGGTTGGTATCTAAAGCCTGGTCAGCTTGCGGGTTAAGTTGCGTTGGTCAGGCCTCCTTGCTGTACGCCGTACGTCTTGGCAATTTGTGGCTGTACTTCCCGTTTCCAAGGCCAGCAGTCTCAGTCTAGCTGGGACAGAATATCCAGAATCAGCCCGGGCTCTGAACTTGAAGTCCCGGTCACCATACCTTAAAGCTTGGAAATTAGATGCCAACTCATCGAGCCATAATCCGTATCCGTAACTTCCCTGAGTCTTAAACCCCAAACTCAGGTCGATTTCCCTGCTCCTCCTCGTGCTGTCCTCTCCGAGCTGGCTTGCATCTGCCTCGGTGGCACTTTGAGGGTTGGAGTTGCATAAACGAATATGGGTGTTTCTCAAGGGGTCCCATGTGGGGGTTCACAAGGATCACACGGTCCCTGTTTTCTGACACTGCCATCTGGAAGTTATATGGGAACCCAGTATTGTTGTCCTTTCATCCTTTCATAAGGGAGGGTTCAACGGGAGGCTCGGGTTTGACGGTGTCAGCTTTGAGCCTTTGGGTGCGTTGGGATCATGGGATCAGCTGTTTGGATTTGGGTTTCGGGGTGATTCCAAGGGCTTGACGAGACGTCGCTCGATTTTGAGTGCTGATTGCAGGTCTGAGGTTTGGTTTGAGATTGTTCAGCCTTTGTTGGGTTGATTTGGCCTTAGCCTCCTGACTTCGGAATTGAAGTTTGCAGTGTTGGGGCCAGCACTCTGACGTACATCTCAGGTTCTGTCGGCTTAGGCTACGTTCTTCGAGGCTTTCCTGATTCCTCGGCTCGCCTGGCCACGACAATCTGAACCGAATCGGATTCCACCCGGGACAACGAGCCGTTAAACCCCAATCAGGGCCTCAGGAATTCAACTGCCACTGGTGAAAGACGCCTCTAGCCCCTAGCCTCGTACTTTCAATCATGTTCAGCCTTGCACTGCAGGGCTCAAAGTAGACAGCGGTGGGGGTTGAGATTGAAAGGGCAGAGAGCTCACATGCCAAACCTGAGAAAACCCCAGGAACCCTAAACTGAGGGCAGCGCCATGCCACGACGGCCGCCGCAGGGACGCCTGCATGTCCGGCGCTTTGCCGCCTCTGATGAGCTCCGAGGCACAAGCATTCAATCCTGCAAAGAAATAGGTGGAAAAAACAGAAGACTAGCTCCTGCCGCAAGGGCTGCTTTAGCTGTCAGTGCTACTAAGTTTCGTGCTACTTTGCCGACTTATTGGTATTGATGTTCTGGTTGACTGTGGCTCAATAAGACGATGGAGATGGACGGCTGTTGGCGGGGGTGGTGAATGTCAAGAATCAGCAGCAGCAGCAGCAGCAGCAGCAGGAGTAGTAGCAGTACCAGCAGCAGCAGCAGGAGCAAGAGCAGGAGCAGTAGCAGTAGCAGTGGAAGTCGTCGTGTTTTTGTAGTCGCGGTAGTGGCTGGGGTGCTAAATAACAGAGGAGGCTAAGACTTGAATTCAATACTAATTAGCCCAACTGTGGTCAGTTCCAGCGTCGGCATAGTTAGGTTTTCAGCGCATTTGGTTTGCCTTCATTCAACCTTAAAATCACCTGAATTCGACCCTCGTCGAACTCTAGACTCTTCTGACAGCTATTAAAGCGATTATGGTAGAATTTCAGACTCAATGTGGATTTAAATTTCGATGTTATGCGTTTCTGTGTGGGGTTCAGGTGTCTGGCCGGAGGGCTTAGATGCGAATTTAATGCTTTACGGTCATTTACCGTGGCGAAGGCATAAGTTCGAGTTTAATTCCACATTGAATCTTGTCCCGGTCTGGAGGGAGATTTGAGTTGAATTTAATCTCCCATGGGTTGGGGGGGGGGGGGTCGAAAATTCGGATTTGACGCCCCTTTCCGATGCAAGGGTTTTTGCGATTTGCTCCCGGAATGCCGGCTGCAGCTTGGATCCAAGTCTCTTTCGTCCGGCTTGCTACTTCTTCTGAGATTCTCTAGTGCCTTTCGAGCGGTAGCGGTTAGTCCCCTGTTTTCATCTTCTCCAGTCTCTGTCGAAATTCTCTAGTCTCTTTCGGGCGGTTTGCTCGTGGTTCTGAAATTCTCTAGTTTCTTTCGAGCAGTTAGCTCCTTCTTCTGAGATTCTCTAGTTTTTTTCGAGCGGTTTGCTCCTTGTGAAAACCTTTAGTTCCTTTCGAGCGATTTGCCCTGGTTTCCACCTCTCTGAACCTTTTTCCAACTTATCTAGTCTCTTTCGTGCGGTTTGCTTCTTGTTCTGAAATTCTCTAGTTCCTGTTCTGAAATTCTCTAGTTCCTGTCGAGCGGATTGCTCCTTGTTCTGAATTTCTCTAGTCTCTTTCGAAATTCACTAGTGTCTTTCAATCCCTTTGCTCCTTCTTCTGAAACTTTCGAGTTCCTTTCGGGCGGATTGCTCCTTGTTTTCTAAATTCGCCAGCCGCTTTCGAAATTCTCGAGTCTCGTTCGAGCGTTTTGCTCCTTGCTCAGAAACTCTCTAGTTCCTCTCGAGCGGTTTGTTCCTTGTTCTGAATTTCTCTAGTCTTTTTTGAAGTTCTCTTGTCGGTTTCGAGCAGTTTGCTCCTTCTTCTGAGATTGTCCAGTTCCTTTCGAGCGATTTGCTCTTGTTTTCCACTTCTTTAATCCTTTTTCCAAATTCTCTAGTCTTTTTCGACCGGTTTGCTCCTTCTTCTGAAATCCCCAAGTTCTTTTCGAGCGGTTTGCTCCATATTTTAAATTTCTCTAGTCTCTTTGAAGCGGTTTGCTCCTTGTTCTGAAATTTCAGAAGAAGGAGCAAACCGCGCGAAAGAGACTAGAGAGTTTGCAAACAAGGAGCAAACCGCTCGAACGGAACTAGAAGAAGCCAGAACAAGGACCAAACCGCTCGAAAGAGACTAGAGAAATTGAAAACAAGGCGCAAACCGCTCCAAGGGAAGTAAAGAATTTCAGATGAAGGAGCAAACCGCTCAAAAGAGACTACAGAATGTCGAGAAAGATTAGAAAATTTGAAAACAAGGAGCAAAACGCTCGAAAAGAATTTGGGAATTTCAGAAGAAGGCGCAAAACGCTCAAAAGAGACTAGAGAATATCGAAAGAGACTAAAGAGATCCAGAACAAGGACCAAGCACCTCGAAAGAGACCAGGGGAAATGAAAACCAGGAGCAAACCGCTTGAAAGGAACTAGAGAATGTCAGAAGAAGGAGCAAACCGCTTGAAAGAGACTACAGAATTTCGAAAGAGACTCGCTAAGCTCAAAACATGGAGCAAACTGCTCGAAAGGAACTAATTAAAGAGTTTAAGAAGAAGGAGCAAACCGCTCCAAAGGATCTAGAGAAGTTCAGACGAAGGTTCAAACCGCCCGAAACAGACTAGATAATTCCGGAAGAGACTAGCTAAATCCAATACAAGGAGCAAACCGCTCGAAATAGACTAGAGAACTTCGAAAGAGGCTTGAGAATTTCGCAAAAAGGAGCAAACCGTTCGCAAGGAACAGGATAGTTGCAGAGCTTGGAGCAAACTGCCCCAAAAAAATAGAGAATTTCGAAAGAGACTGGAGAATCTGGAAACAAGGAACAAACTGCTCGAAAGGAAGCAGAGTAACTAGAGAAATTCAGAACAAGGAGCAAACCGCTCGAAAGAGACTAGAGAATTTCGGAAGAAGGAGCTATTCGCTCGAAAGAGACTAGAGAGTTTGAAAACAAGAACCGCCCACTCGAAAGAGACTAGAGAATTTCGAAGAGACTACAGCCTTTGCAGTGAAGGATCAAACCGCACGAAAGGAACTAGCGAGTTTCTTCACAAGGAGCAAACCGTTCGACAGAGACTAGAGAGTTCGAAAACAAGGAGCAAACCGCTCGAAAAGAACAAGAGAAAACCGCTCGAAAGAGACCAGAGAATTTCGAAAAAGCTAATTAGAGAGTTTGAAGACAAGGAGCAAACCTCTCGAAAAGAGTTAGAGAGATTCAGAACAAGGAGCAAACCGTTCGAAAGAGGTTCGATAGAAGCTAAAGACTCGACCGGTGGCCGCCTGCTTGGTTCAGAGGTGTAAACTCGAATCTAAGCCATTTGGATGCGATGTCTACGCCCCGCCCGCGAGGGGAATCCATTTGAATTTATTCTTTTTCTAATTCGAAATCCTGCCTCATCACTATTAAAGCTATTACCCCGAAGCAGCATACATCCTAAACCCACACCTGAGGAAAATCCATGGCCCATAGCCTTTGGTGCAGGATGGGTGCAGAGATTCATCTTGGATGGTCGGCTCCACACTTGATGTTAGGGTCAGTGGTTAGGAAGGATGAGGGTTTTGGGGGGTTTTCCGGGTTGGGGGTGTAAGGGGGGCGGCTCCAGTTTGGCAAGGAGATGTCGGAGGTTTTTAGGAAACGGTTCCCCTAAACACGGTCGAGGCCGTACATTCAGAAATTGTGAACTCCCATTCAAGTCTCAATCGTTGTGTTTATTCTGAGCCCTGTGCCGACGTTTCGTTTTTGAGTTGCATGTTTCGGGAAACCAGGTACGATTTCGGGCGCAGAAGGTCCGTAAATCCTAACGCGAAACAGAAGGCCCATTCAATGTTGGATGTTAGGTTGGTGGCTGTGGATTCTGGACGTTTTTGTTTCTGTGCCAGGATTCAGGCTTCAAGTAAACCATGGGAGTTTCAGAACCTTGCGGACAAGAACCCATAATATACTAGGTTAAACATCCCGAAGATAGGACTTTCACGAAAGCTCTGTATACATAGCCCGGCATGGTTGGCTCCGGGTCGACAAAGAACAGAAGATCTGGAATCTTCTCGCAACAGAAACGACGAGTATCTGCCTGTTTGGCTTTGTGTTTGTTGGCTAAGTCCAAAGGAAACTACAGACACTAAAGCCACAAGGTTCTGCCCATGGGCCACGCGATCAATGGCAGCCGGGGAGCTTCGCTTCGTGGAGAGTGCCGCCACGAGCCCCGAGGACCCCAGCAGCGCTTATTGTCAATAGTAACAGGTTTAGGTTTACGGTTTAGGGTTTAGGGTACCAGTGGCCTATATTCCCGGCTAACTATGTTGTCCACGCGCAAACGCCTCCGAGTGAAAGTGTTGCATGCTGGAAGGGCACTTAATCGGACGTTGAGGAATCAGCTTTCGGGGAGAGCTCTGGGTGTACCGTTGCCCACGGGTTCGTTCGGAGCTGGAACATGTTTTTTTTTTTGTTTGTCTTTCATTCTTTTGTTAGTACTACCTCAGCAACACCTCGAATTCATGCCAGTGTCAGCAGCCTCGTAATAGCTTCCACATGATTGTCCGCACAAGTGGCGCATTCTCACGAGTTTACCTTTCAACGCTCATGCATCTCATTTTCGGTTGCCTTTGATCTGATTGAGCCCAGTTTGTTTCACAGGCCTGCTAAGCTTTGGAACAAACAAGACGCGTCAGTTCACCACCTCGGTTTTTCAGAGATGTATCATCCGTTTGATCTCAATTTTTCTCCAATTGTTGTATCGTTTGCAAATCCGTATTCAGACTGATTTGCGGCGCCTGCGAAAAAAAAACAGAATCTCACATGTGTTGGCCACGTTGGTGCAGTCTGAGCGGTCCGGGGTCAGGCCAGGCATGGTCTTTGTGTCGTTGCTTCTCTGTTTGTTTCCATTTCCTAACTTTGTGGGACCATGTGTTTGACTCCGGAATCGTGGAACTCACAGCTGTCAGAACCAGTCTCTCGGCTTGTGGCTTTGAGCACGTCAGGGTTCAAGGTCAGGAGTCATTTAGATTTTTACAGCTTTGCGGCTTTGAGTGGCTTCTTGGACTTTAGACAGAGGACCGTGGATTTTTGATACATTGATTCATACTGGTTGTTTTGACCAGGGTTTTCTTTCAAGGTGCTCAGCCTCACGAGTACAACTATACAACCACGGGCGTTCACTCTCGTTGAGTGCTTCAGAACAGTGCATTCTCATAGTCTCAGACAGCTCGGCCGTCGGTTTCCCTAGCACAGCTTTGATGGCAGCCGAAGCATCCCAAAAATGCGAGCCAAAACACGCACGAACTGAGCACCGGCACTGCGCTCACTATTGTGTAATCTCGTGGCGTCGTACACGGATTGCAGAATCAATCCCAGACCACCACCTACTGCAGCTCCCAGCCGACAAGAGCTCGACCTGCGAAGCTTTGCAGTGTATCCAGGAGGCAGCCGGCAGCCTCATTGAGCAGGCTCTGTCATTTCGCGTTGCGGCTTTTCAGGACTTCGGATTTTCAGTCTCTGAGCGTTTCGGGCTAGGGAAGATTAAATGCCATCAACATGTCGCTGATGGGGGCCATGCAATGGCGACGTAAGTCCATTCTTTCATGGAGACTGCAGAGGGAGATCCAACGTTGCGAATTGGCACAACTGTGGACGTTTGCGGAGCCTGTGGCCCTTGGTCTTGGGGTTGAAGGTTTGCCGGGTAGTGTTCAGGGCTGTCATCATTTGGGTAGAGTGTTGTTGATTCAAGCTGCGCACGCATGGATACTGTCAGGTCTTGCTTTCCGGAGTGCTGTCATGTTGCCTCGATGATCCTTATCTCGACAGCATCGACCCTAGCCTGTAGCCTAACGGTTCGTCACACTGTAGATCTGCGGATGTAGAAAACGACAGATCCACGACGGGAAGCCCAGTAAAGCAGGCGTTGTCGAATGTTGCATATTAGGCCAAGGCAAACAGGAACGATAATATCACACAGATGAATTGCACACAGGTACGAACATGAACAGGACCGAAAAGTTTATTGGTCATGTGAATCTATGCATATATAGATGTGCACCCGTATGTTCACATACGCTTTCATCTGTAACATGCACATCTATAAGTGTGTGTGTGTGTGTGTGTAGAGAGAGAGAGATAGGGCAGCAGGAGAGAGAGACAGAACAACAACATCAAGATGGACATACATATACATACGTCTTTTGTTCTCCGACCGACTTAGAAGGGCCCCTCCTGCTACACGGCTGAGGACAGCTTAGCAGATGGCCACCAAAAACAGCATGTTGCTGTTTTCGTCTTTTTGTTTCTGATCCCAAGGGAAGCATTCAGTAGCTATCCATGCAGAGATGGCGCACCCGTGTTGAACATGCACGGTGCTCGACGGCCTCTCTTCTGAGGAGACTTCCCTACCCCGAACGCGGCACGCTGAAGCAGCACACAAGCTCTGAAAGCAAGCCAAGAATGTAGCTTAAGCATGCTGCCAGCGCACACCGTCTACATCTGTCTACACGCACTGCTGGCGCCCGAGATCTCGCTCGACCCAACACAAGGAAGTGTATCTCCGCCACAGTCAGAGACTTCTGGAGCAGAGTTCAGACTCCCAATAGTAGGATCCTTCTTCTAAGGAACAATAAAGGATAAGCCTTTAAACCAGGCCCTGCGGCTCGATCTGTCAACGCGAGAGCTTGCATCGTCGCTGGTCATCTTGCGCCATGTGGAGTCTCAGCTTCCCAGGGTCAAGGAGTCTCAGGATGCTTGAGGGTTTCGAGTTGAGGGTAAGTCTTAGGCTCAGAGGGTGACAGGACAGACCCCACACCCGAATCTCAAGAGGCTGTGGCTGGAGGGGGAAGAAAGCGGGCTTTGCTTCACATGGTTCCTATGACAAGACCTTGACAGGGAAATTGAAACCCTCAAGCGTGAATGACTGAGATATGCTGAGTGTAGACCACATGGCATTCAAAGCGCAAAGATACCCAGCCGTGCAAGGAAGCTTTTCAAGACTTCTTCATTTTCGACGCGTACGTTAAGGCAGCTGACGGGTATGATGGTCATACTGACATATCCCTCGGCATCATCCTTGGATAATTTCACGTCCAGTCCTGGGCAGGTCGAAAGACAGAATCCGGGGATGACTCCAGTGGGTTGGCACGCTAGTGTGGGCTGCGGTTTGTCGGCTACAAGTTCCAGGATGTTGCATGGGCCGAGTTGGTTGCAGAGTGGATACCTTTGTGAGTATGGCATCCACCCCTGCGATAAGTGTAGCACGTGTAGTGGTTTTATCTTGCGCCGGAAACAACGTGCTAGTGCTTGAAGGCCGTCAGGAGAGACTTCACAGTGCGACAAGAGCATAATTCCGAAGACCAAAATCTGCTGCTGCCTGCAAATGCACCACTTGGTCCGTGTCGCTTCGACCATCAAGCCTGCGGCCTTCAACTACCAGCACTCTACCTTGCTTTGGGTTGCGGGCCTGATACCCTGCGATCGAAGTTCCGAAGCTGCGCGTTTCAGATCTGGGCTTCAGGTCTCAGGTCCAGATTGCACAGTGGCCATGGTATACCCTTCTAAAGTCATGGGTTCCTTTGACCATGCTGTCTCAGCGCCACTTCGAAGCGTCCCAGGCGTTTTACCCCTGAGCACCAACCAGGCCTGGGATCGCGGTCTCGTGGCTCCCAAGGGCACCCGCTCGGGTGTTTTGCTGCCAAGAGCCGAGGCGCCGTCGGAAAGGACGGTTCGGGCATCGGGCTTCGAACTCCTTAGTTAGAGTTAGAGCACTTAGAGTTTGTGTTTTGGGGCTTTTGGACCTTCCTGACGTCACAAGCCTGTTCGCGGATTAAGGCCGCAAGTGCAAAACGGTGGATGGCAGGTCTGGAGTATGGCCAGCTTAAGCCTTCTTTTGGAGTGACGGGGCGCAGGGTCGTTAAGGTGGGGCTTCTGGATCCTAGGTTTGGAGCACCGAGGTTTTTGAACTCACCTCACAGAGTCTTGCGCATCTTAGCTTGTAAGTTCGTTCGGGACATATTGCAGTTACATCTTGGTTAAAATGATGGCAGCACGCAGTGTCCACCCTTCAGCCACGAGTACGTCCCCAGTGCACTTCAGCGACAAGCACGTATCCAACGTTGAGAGACTCCATATACATCCCACCCACCACCACCTGCCCCCAAGCCTGGCCGGGCCTTCAAGCAAATCATACGCACGACCTTGTCGAATAATTCCTGAGGTTCCTACAGCATACCGCACAAGCTGTAGCAGTTTCGGATGAGTCCGCGACATTCTAAACCCCAGGACCAGTCTAGCTACTCCTAGGGTCCTAGGGTCTGCGGCTCAATAGTGCTCCCACTCTGTTTTCCAGATCAACACACACTAAAACAAAACCACATATAATTACCAGGAAGGCAAAGGGCAGATACCAAACTCGACCATTGGTGAAAATCTTCAGGTCCCTCGAAGCAAGCCATCGCAGGACGCAAGAGCTTCTGAAGCGCTGCCACGAAAAGTCCGGAACTTACCAAAAGCTGCTTCGGTTTGTGTTATTTAAGGCTCCGAATAGCCAGGAAGAGTGCTCCTTAGCTTTCCCGATCATGAAAATAGTGTAAAGTTCCCGGTTCTGCTTCTTCGAACTTCTCTGTTGCACGGCTATAGTAATGCGGCTTTGCGGGACTTCGTTTTGTTTAAGCCTGCAGGGCTTTGCAGGAACCACAACAGCTTCTCATGGACTCACAGTGGAGTATGCGGCAGGCATGTGATTGTTTGAGCCCCTTCCTTTTTGTCCAGAGAGGCTGTGGTGCGGGCCCAAGCTCTGACCTCCGCAGATAACTCGTATAATTATTCGACAAGCCTGTCCCAACATCTGTGTCAGAGGGCGCGATGTTAGCCTACAGGCTATGTAAGCAACCAAAGACAAGTGCAAACGCGATGCGGATAACACACGGACATGCAGGCGCGAGCGCGCACGCGCACACAGATCAACAAGACTAATTACACCTATACCGCATCTTCGACAAACACCCCACCTGGCAAGTCTTTAATCACTGGCAGGCCAACAGCCCAAGACCCTGTCCAGGGTTCGGCTCGTGACTTTCCATCCTGGCTTCTCGCGCTGGCTGGAGCCCCCAGGGGGGTACTGCAACAGCAGCGCCTAAGGCTGCAAGTCCACGGGCATTACTCCACCGTAAATCCTACTCCGGCCCGAGACCCTTTTAGTGCAAGGGTTTGAAGGGGGTTGCTGCCGTACAGTTGGCACCGATAGAGTCGGCGGGTCACATATGTAATATGTACATACTGTACTGCCACATGATGGATGGATTCGCGATTGCGGCAGGGTTCCCATCTCTTTACCTTTGCTGTGTTCATCATCCGAACTCTTTTGTTGCTTAAGTGTAACAACTGTTGTCGGAGTAGCTGGTTGTTCATTTCAGGAGCAACAAGAAACAAGTACAACAGTGTTCTTGCTGTGGTTCTTCTTCTTTCGCTGAGCAACCCAATGTCCGAAACCGACAGCGAGACCCATGAACTCCAAAGCGACCGAAGAACCGGCAGCCAGAGACACCATAGCACCTCTTCTGCAGCTCGACAGTTGCATTTTGCCCAAACTTGCCGTTGCCTCACCCTTCGGTGTAAACAATCGACATGCGCCTAAATTGGGTGAGGTGAGAAGTGGAGTGTGACAGCCTGGTTCAATTAGTCGAAAGATGAGATTCGACCCTCACTGCCACCCAAAAGAGCAGCTTGGACGGAAGAAGTACCGCAAAAGGCCAAGTTTTCCTCGACCTCATGCAGAAGCGCGTGCACGTAGACCCCCACTTCGCAGGTGCACCGCCAGAGCGATGCCAGAACAGGTCCAACAGAGATGATAGAGTCATGCATATCAACAGCATGAGCCGTGATAGAAACCGTAAGCAGACTTGTCTCGTCGACAATGCTGACAAACATAAAGAATGTGTTTGGATATGCACACAGCTCGAAAGATCAATAGCTAGAGTCAGCTGGAGCCTTGTAGTACATAACAGTAAGAGGTCGTAACCGTTCGCAGGTTCGCAAGACAAACAGACAGTTCGCTGAAACGAAGCAAAGGAATATCAGCATTCGACAAGAGCCTTCAGACTAAGGGTCGCAGAACCCACAGTCCACTAGCCCCGATCCATGCAACCCGCTGCAACCCTCTCCTGGCACCCTGAATCCTAGAGCTCGGCCAACATCCTACACCCTCGATCATGAACCCCACACCACAAGCCCAGAACCAATCCCCACAAAAAACTTATACTGGCACTTGAGGACTCAAGGTCTACTGCTTGTCTGCGCCCAGGGCCTGAGATCACCCCTCCCCAAATGAGTAAGCAGGGTTTTGAATGGCTTCATGCTTTCAGGGTTAAGGTTTTGGGTTCAGGGTTTGCGGGGCAGCACTCTTTTGGTCATCGATGCAACAACCATCGCCACCCACATCTGACATGCCATGCACCCAATGCAATCGCGATGGCCCTCTGAGTCCGAAGCCGAAACAGACCGCTTGTAACCCCAAGTGAAATCCCTGAGCTCAGGTCGTTCTGTCCGCATGGCAATGACATTAGCAGTTAGCATTGTGGTTGCTTCTCACAACAGATGTAAACAGATCTACCACAAGCAGCAGCCCAGAAGTAGCAAGTCTTCATGCCTTGAGCGCAAGAGTTCTGAGAAGCCAAAGCCTCAATGGCTTGGCATTTCCCAACGGATCCTAGCTGGACAATAGAAAATTACGATTCTGCTTTTTGTAAATATCCCCGGTGAGCGTACTTAGGACCGTTTGGGTCTATGTCGGTTTCCCCAGAAGCGTGTGTCCTCAAAGACCTATCTGAAGGCGAGCCTGCCACTATATTCCGACCTGGCCCTGAGGAAGTGGAGGCTGGGGCACGTAGTTCGGTGGAGGTGACAAGCCATAAGCATATCGTGCAGTACGTCCCTTAGAAAGTCATTCGCGACAAATAAAGCAGGACAATGTCCACAAACTAGTTTGTTCGTTTCGTGCCGACACTTTGGAAGGACTGCATTAGGTTTTGGCACATGGTGGTGCAAATTGTCGGCAGATCTACCTTGTTTCCGGGTCTGGGGGACACCGAACCCGGATTGAAGCTAAGGTTTCGTGCATGGAATCTGCCCTTGATCTGACCCCTGTACTAGCTTGCTTTGGGCCGAGCTTCAGATAACACCAACGGTTACAGACAACTGGTCGGTCACCTCACATCTTTTTCGTTCGAAACATTTCATTTTCATTCAGAACTACTCGTCGAACTTTGCGAGGCACTTGAAGAGCAAACACATGTTTGTGCTCTTTGTACGTTAGTGTTGTATGTCAGCTTCATGCCCGGCATCGCTTTTACAGTTGAGGGTGGCTGTATTGTCGGTGTTTGGGCTCAGGCAGATGAGCCCCAGCATTTAGGGCGAGACATGTCTGAGCGCACAGCGGATCTTTCCATTTCATAAGCAACATGCTTGGTTGCTGCCTTGGTTGGTTGCTGCCTTGCATTGATCTCGTCACGCTGCGAGCGTTTGTGGGCAAAACATTTCCTCGGAGGAGTGTCCTGTTTGGCGCACGGCGCGGGTCTAGTTCTCATCATGGCTGACAATCGATGCCAAAGTCCTGGTTTCAGTTCGGCTTTGCAAGTGTTGGCTTCACAGATGGTTCTACCGCTAGCTGCACACCTTGGTCGTCTCAATTCCAACCTTGCTGCTATGAGCCGCCAAACTGCAGATCGCGAAACCGTACACCATGAAGCACTCCTACGATCAATCGCAGAGCTTGATGGTAAAAAGCGAGCTCAGATGTTGATCCAGTTGTGGTTGGTTGTCCGAATGAGTTGTTCAAGCTTCTTTACCCCAATCTTGCCAAGTTTGCCATACAGTAACAGCGCAGATTGGAAGACCTGATTGAAGATCTCATCAACCAACGAGGTTTGAACAAAAAGTACACGCAGAAGATGCATGCCCATGTCGGCAATGAGTCCAAACTCGAATGGCAGTTCCCAAAGGACTATGCTGCTGCACCCCTTTACGAAATGGCCGATGAATATAGCCTGAGCAGTGCTTGGGCTTAGGCGAAGCTGCGAGAGCAACCTGCGCGGCAATGCATAGATTTCATCAAACAGCATGGGTTAAAGCCACAGGAGCACTTTGAGTGAGAGCAAAGTCCAACTGGATACAGTGCTGAGTGACACGCAAATGGCTCTTGCTGTTTTTTTGGCGAAGCGAGCAAGGATGTATGTATAGCCAAGTTGAACGTTTGAAGTTTCCCAAGATCATCTCGGATCACGTCCGTCCTGTGACTCGTCAAGATTTCACAAGGGTGGCTAAGCGCGAGCGTGAGGCGAAACAGGCTGAAGAGAAGCGGAACAAGGCGATCAATGAGTCCAATGCGTTCTTTGAGCAGCTTGATACCCAAGACGATGTTGGCATTGGCAAAATCAGTCAGTCAAGGTCCTCATGGTAAGCTTCGTGACGGGACTCTCATGCAGTACTTGTGCAATGAACAGCCAGAGAATGTTGACACTTTTTGCTGGAAGCACTGAAAAAAAACGAGGAGGAGTTGTTTCTGATGATGCAGAAATTGTACGAACGAAACCAACCCGGGGACGGAGTCGTGGTGGTGACAAGGCCCGTGGCTCAGATCAAAAGTTTCCCCGAGCCCCAGCTGCATTCAGAATGTGTTCCAGAGCTTCAAATGTCAAAGAGATCGTCACGTTCCAAGGCCTCCAACTCTAGCCGCTTCTAGCCGTGTGTCCTTTTACGGCGCAGTCTGTTTCAGCTCACGGAAATCATCGCGACGATCGGCGTCCAAGATCTCAAAGTCAAAGAAGCAAGGCCTCCAAGGGCAAAGATGGACGTGGGGGTCGCGGCAAAGGACGTGGCAGGCGTTCTTGACTAGCAGTTCCATGCCCCGCCACTATCGCACCGTCCTGCACGATAACTGACCTACAAGCATTTGTATGTGTTCAGTTGCGTAAGATTCAGTTTTCAGCGCTGCTTGGTCGTTCTTCACCAAACAAGCTACATACTGTGGACTGTCGATTGAGAGACATTCCCAATTTTGTTCAGAACCTCCTGACGAAATCGTTCAAGTTCGTTCCACAAACTTTGATGGAATCCGTGGACAAGTGGTTTGCTCAGGTGCCAGATTGCGTGCGCAGATTGGCGTGGAAGCTTATTTTTTGCAATCCGAGATCGCAGATGTGGTCGTCATATGTGCAAACTCTCCAGTGGCAAATGCCCTTCCGTTCCCGACACTCAAAGTGGGTTTGGATGACTTTGAGCAAAAACTCCGATGCGGACTCCAAGTGCGCTCTTCGCGAATTTTCAGTGAAGTCGCAAAACTCAAGCTTGGATCGCAAAGCTTTGCGATTGTTGGCTGATAATGCTGGTAAGCTTCGTGCATGCTGGTAAACTTCGTGCTATTGAGGCTGACAAGAACCTTGGGGTTGTTTCTACGAAATGGCTGCTTGCACAAATCCAAGGACATTTATTATGCGGATATGTTCGTGTTGGTGCAGAAACTGCGGCAGTTTCTGCATGGAATTTCCTTGACAGCGACACTTGCGATCTGCAGATTCTGGTATGTGAAGCTGGGATCCACGGTGTCGTTTCAGAAGCTGAACGGTGTTTCTTGTTTTCACACTGTGACTCTAACAAGATATTGAATTTTCGTATATCAGTCAAAACGCACAAGGTCCCTCCATGCCAGGTCATGTCCTTTCAGGTGCTCCTGAATCAAGGTCTATTGCCTATGCAGCGCGCTTGCGTACATGTCATTGACTCTGCTGCGGATATCGTTGAAGTTTTCGCCTTGTGTGTCCAATCAGTGGTGCGTAGGGCCATTTTGAACTTTTACGCCGCCCTCGGAAATTCCTGTATGCAGACTTTCTCATCAAGCTGCTCAACCCTCTGTTGCTGCACGCCGTGATCTCTCTTTGCCTGGAAGGCGACATCTGCTATTCCCAACAACAAATTTGACTTGCAACGGGTTTGTTTTGTGCAAGCACGATCGGCAACATGTTTTTGCAATGGGGTTTGATGTCCATTTGATTTCGTGTCTCCCTGTGCGCACGTATGTCCGTTACATTGGTGATGGTGGTATTGTCAAAAAGCACATTCGGCCTATTCTTCTGCAGCGCTTGAATTCTTGGCACCCAATGATCGTTGTCCATGACCATGGTCTGATCCTGACGTGCATCTCTTGGACGTGAGACTCAGACTTTGAGGCCATCAAGCCTGTTGCACGACATATCATACCGCAAGCCTCAGAACATCTACGATTACTTACCGGTTTCTTCAGCACATCATGCATACGCAGGTCAGTATCCTCAACTATTTCCGCGAAGTGGGCCTTTGTCTCGCGAAAGCGCGATGTAGAGGCTATGATCTCGCATATGCAAGAGAGATATTCCGGAAGTTTCGACATGGATTTCGACGGAATCTGATTCTGGCAAGGATGAGTAAAGTGAAGCGCCGAATTGAGAAGACCGACACGTTCGGTGCGTCCATCAAAAATGGAGGGGTCTGAACAAGTGAGGTGGTCGTCTATGTTGAAGCTGCCTCTGCGAAGCGAACTACATCTTGGGCAAGCGTGTCAGATTCTGCGCTGGTCGGTAGGCAAGAATCTTTTCCGCCTACTGTACAAATTTACGTGGCAGGGTATTTTTTGGCTCTTTGTACATTAGTGTTGTATGTAAGTCTCATGCCCGGCATCGTTTGTACAGTTGAGGGTGGTTGTATTGTCGGTGTTTGGGCTCGAGCTGATGAGCCCCAGCGTTTAGGGGAGAAACATGTCTCAGCCCATAGCGAATCTTTCCATTTTATAAGAGAAAGTGCTGGTTGCTGCCTTGGATTGATCCCTAGCCTCCTTGTGAAAAATTCCGCAAGATATTGGTTGACCGTTGCGGTGATGGGTCATATGTTCACGTGGATGAAATTTAAATGAACAGCAGACTGCGTCCGGGTCATGTTGATGCTTGAAAGCAACGTTTGGGGTTCCTGCTTCAGGCTTCGGTTCGCGGCCCGAGGCCATAATTGGGTATGAGTCGTCGCCAGGTAGGGCCCCGGCAAGTGTGCGCAAGACTGCATGGCCCCATGGCACTGCAATTCTACTTGCGGTTCCTCGGGCTGATCGGATGATGATTTGGGATGGCGTGTCGGTGTACAACAACAACAACAGCAGCACTCGCCACAACAACAGCAACAACAACAACCACGACCACGACCACGACCACGACCACGACTACGACCACGACCACGACAACGACAACGGCAACGACAACCACGAACACGCAACCACAACCACGACCACAACAACAACAACAACAACCGCAAACACAGACACAAACACAACAGCAACAACAACAGCAACGGCAACAGCAACGGCAACAGCAGCAGCAGCAGCACAAGCAGCAGCAGCAGCAGCAGCAGCAGCAGCAACAACAGCAACAGCCACAGCTACAGCGACAACAACAGCACCAAAAACAACGACAACAATTTTTTCCGTGGGAGAGAACTTGCAACTCTGAGGCTCCAGCATCTCTTAAATCTTAGGTTTTACGCACCATGGCAACCTAGGTTAGACTCGCTCCCCTCAAACGAGGGGGTTACCTCAGGTCAGTCTACTCGAGGTGTGACTCACTCTCCTCCGAAAGGGGGCGGTTTCCTCGTGAGCTACCCTACCCGAGGTGTGACCACGCTCCCAGACTAGGGGGTTCCCCCGTGGCATAGGCTAAACCTCCATTGGAGAAGACCGTGGCGGGTAGTTTAACAAACAATGTAACAACAACAACGACGACGACAACAACGACAACAACCACAACGACAGCGACAGCGACAAACACAAGGACAACAACAACAACAAGAACAATAACAACAGCAACAACAACAACAACAAAAACAACACAAGCAACACCAACAACACCACCACCCTTACCAACAACAACGACAACAGCAGCAACAACAACAACCTCAATAACATTCACTATAGTTGATACCAACAACAACAATAACAGAATCAACACCACCACCGTCACCAAAACCACCACCACCACCACCACCACCAGCAGCAGCAGCAGCACCACCACCACCACCGCCGCCACCACCACCATCACCACCACCACCACCACCACAACCACAACCACAACCAGAACCAGAACCACAACAACACCAACAACACCAACAGCAACAACAGCAACAACAGCAGCACCAGCACAAACACCAACAGCAGCAACAGCAACAGTAACACCGCCAACACCACCACAGCCACCGAGGCCGCCGCCGCCGCCGCCACGACCACCACCACGACCACCACCACCACCACCACCACCAACACCAACACCAACACCAACACCAACACCAGCAGCAGCAGCAGCAACAACAACGACAACAGCAGCAGCAGCAGCAGCAGCAGCAACCACAGCGACAACCACAACCACAACAACGACGACAACAACAACAACGACGACGATCATCGGAACCAGACCTGTCCGAACAGCAAACATCATTCTCAGGAGGAAGACCTGAAACATGCATATAGTCAGCAATGCCAGCTTGTTAAGGTGGCAGTGGGATCTGTGCATGGGACCTGGAAGACATCGTCCCTGAGGAGGAGGGCGTTTTCCCTGCAAGTGTTCTAAACCTTACGAGGTGCACTTGAAGCCCCAGGAGAGCCCTTCTCACGACCCAGCATCACGTTTGAATGCAGAGTTGGTGCCCGCAGCTTTATGAATCGTGACACACTATAAGTTTTGGTGCTCAGGATTGCGGATGAAACCATGTTGCAAGATTCGGGGTTCGAGTTGTTCACTGATATCACAATTCACTGGTTGCGATCTGTGGCTGAGCATGATGACGTCCTTAAGCTCTACTCGACATCTTAACTTGACGGCTAGAGTTGCGGATCTATGGCCCAAAGGCTTAGGTTTGTGGCAGTGTAGGCTTATAACAACGCCAATCAGGCGATCTGCAAACGCTGCATAGGCATCGTTCGGTGTAGTCGTACATGTCTAACATACACAAAGACAACGCATCCGCGGAGTGGGGTTCCAAAGCACCAGCCTGTGCAAGCCTGAAGTAGCCTGATAAGCTTCTTCCGGCTTAAAGCCTTAGACTTAAAGTGGGTTTCCGCAGCCATGCGAGCTCCAATGCCGCGAGGACTTCGTGCCGCTTCCAGATAACGACATGCACCGCACTCCCTTCCCCGTCGTGCACCTTATTCGCAAGGCACACAGCTCCAATAATCATGTGCCGATTTCAGGCTTTGGAGAGGTGCAATTGCTATGGTTCGAGCTCGTAAGATTCTGATAGGGCTCAATCTGGTGAAGCTACGCGATTTGCTTTCTCAGATGACCAAGCCGGTGCTGAAAACTAAGAACCTCTTTCTGCCACTTTGGAGGTGGACCTATCCGGAGACAGCATCATCGCCGCAATTTGGTCGCATGCGAAACCTGCGGTTAGGACTCGGGTTTGGGCTCAAACACTGGTGTCGCGAGGGTTGCAGGGCAGGGTTTTGGTTCGCGACTTGGGTCTGCAATCTGCGCCCTGCACCCCACGTCAGGACACTTTTTGTTTGAACTTCGGCCTTTGCAGCATCCACCCACGTAGCGTATTTAAATCCGGAACCTAATCCAAAGCATCGAGGAGGCAAACGAACTGCGACGCCTGAATGCCGACCGCTTTCGCCGCAAGTTGTGGAAAACGTCGTCATGCATTGCCGGTGCTGTGTGTAACGCTTCATAGGTATCTGGTGCTTTCCTTTGCCTTGGGAACAGGCGCCGCAGTTGCAGCAGTGGGTCCAAGGCTGGGCGGATGTTGGCGACGCGAGTTGTCCTGAGATTTTGCGGTGATCCGGTAGGCGGTATGGATCAACCCTAACCCCTGAAGCTCTTCACATATTGACATCAGATTTTTTGTGTTGGTGTTCAAGGTGCAGGCGAAGTCCCCCAGCCTTCCTATCGAAGGCTGGCTTAGCATATACCGAGACAAAATTTGCAGGCATACTTTCAGTTAGAGAGGTACCATGGTCTGGGCCTGTTGGGTGCAACTACACACATGCGGGTGACGCTAAAGTTAGCTAGGTGCCGTTTGCCTTGGAGCCTTGTCCTGTCACCCGTCTCCAGTGTCTGCACCGTACTTTCGGCCTTAAGCTGCCCAGCGACTAGGGTGAAGGCTCCACGTAGTCCAACACTTTGTGGGATTTCCTCTTAGTGTACCTCGAGAAGTTTGTGGGTAAACAAACAACTTAAGGCTTTACAGGCGCGGGCCTTAGTAGATGATGCAAATAGATGAGTGCAGTATCCGGTTTTCTAGGTTTTTGGGGACAGTTCACCGCTCATGTGTGTCAGGTGTCAGCACTCGGGCGAGCGCCTCAGTGATGTGGGGCTTGCTCCAAGCAGGGCTCTCTTGAAGGACGAGTTTGCTTGAACGGGATGGTACTCCTTGCACTCAGGAGTTGATAGATGGTTGGTAAGTTCAAAGCTTCAACAAATACCTCAGGCGTGAACCTGTGAGCACATAGAAGCCCTGAATTCACCAATTCGGACAGGTGAGGGCCAATTCAGGCCCTTCGTGTCTAGTGTAATAGAGATCTTCTAAGCGCAAAGGTGAACAAGGGAGTGAAACAGACCCCCCTTGTCCACGTCCGGGGTAGTGCAATGCAGACCTTGGTTCTCCTACTCTAGCATGCGACATTGCAAGCCGATACCCGACGTGCAATCCGATTTCACAAGATGCCTTGACCCTGCCTGAAAAACCTAGAAGTGTCAAATGTGGAGAGCCTATAGCACATTCGATCAGTTACTCATGCTGTCTCTAGCTCGGCACTGTCATGATGTGCATGCTATTCAAGAGTAGTACAGCTTATGCGCTCCCACAGATACAGAAGCTGGAGCGCTCCCGCGGTCAGATCTCCAAGGCTAGGTTGATCTCAAAGGTTTATGGGCGTTTAGGCTGTATTCCCTGTTGAGTCGGGGCTCGGTTCCCCGTAGCTAGGCTGGTGTTACTTCAAGTCTTGCGTCTGAGACATGGGCTTCGGGGCAGAGGAAGGATTATGTTCCAGTCTTTCCTGTGGATCTTGCCTTTTTGCTCGTGCTGGTTCCCATCTGCTGCCTACCGTTTCGACTTGCAGCTCATACTGAGACTGCACAACAGCAGCAGCAGCAGCAGCAGCAGCTGTTGCTGCTGCTGCTGCTGCTACGACAACGAAGCCGACCGCCACTTTGCTGCTGCTGATCCTGCTGCTGCTGCTGCTGCTAAGACTGCGAACGACGATGGCTACCTGCTACACCCCGACACTGCTACTAACTACTCCTGAAACTACTACTATCACCACTACTACTGCTGCTGCTGCTGCTGCTACTACTACTACTTCTTCTACTACTACTGCTACTACTACTACTACTACTACGACTACTGCTGCTACTACTACTACTACTACTACCACTACTACTACGTCGCAGAATTTATTTCGGGATTTCGCAAACAGAAGCCACAAATCAAGCAAAA